GTCTTAATCTGATCTATTGTCGTCTTCTTCAGTAACAATTATTTAAATTCACTTTTTATTTTTTATTTTAATGTTTATTATTCTCCATGCCGTGTACTGAACCAACCATAGGCAATAGGCAAATTGAGTACTTCAACATGTAAGTTATTGTCTGTCCGTCTCTCTGTCTGCCCCTTCCCGCTGTATATAGTATGTTCTGCAATCAGCGCAAAAGTGAAAAACTCTATCTGCCTACTATGAAAAGCTAGTCTGTAGTTAGTCTCTGGTGTTCTTAGGCTAAGACGACTTTTTTAATTTTCATTGTAAAATTTTAACTAATAATATTATTTTTGCGGAGTGGTTGTTTTGCTTCGTATTCTCTTGCCGCTGTGAAGTTGGCCTTTAAGCCGAAGATGCAATAAAATTTGCTATTACATTTATTTTAGATTGAAACTTGTCTACACTTATGTGAACTACATTTTTGAAAAGAATTATCAGTTCCAAATGATTTAATTATTATTCATTCAACAAATTATACACGAACTTCTCAATATAGGGGCATTACTAAATGACTAAAAGAACTTAAGTAGATCAAATAATTATTATTAAAATATGAATTATTAAAATTATAAAAATATGTTTATATTTATAAACTAATACATTTTAAATAATATTTTTAAAGCAATACTATATTGTATAATATAATGAAGGCAAATGCAAAATATTAAGACATTGTATTAAACCCTAAGCTTACATTTGTGGACTACATTTATGGAATAATAAGTATTTTTTTAATTTTGATATGTAAATAAATAACTTATATTGCCTTAGCAATTAGTGCCATAATTCTAAGCACTTTTGGCCGCTTCACAAGCTTTTTAAACTAATCCTTCTTAAGCTGTAGTGCCACCAATATACTAGAAATAAAATAGTATGTAGTTTTAACACTGCCAGTACACTGAGTGAGATTAGCACGGTGTCCCTTATCTACTTTGGCGCAATACTTAATCTGATATAATATATCTAACAACCTAACAGTACAGTGAAAAAAAGAATATTTAAAAAACTTTATGGTTTATGTGCGCTTAGAAGTAAAACAACTTAATAAAACACTATTTTTGACTTAGTCGTCACGCCACTGTTCCAACCACTAACGCCGCTACTGGAGAAGAACTCATACTCAAGTTTAATCTATTCTCGTAATATTTAATCTACTTTTCTGTATTTATACATATTCATATATTTCTATATCTTTTTATATCTCTTACTTTACTCATATTCATATTTTGGATTCTTCTTATATACACCCATCTATCCCAAACTGACCTCTATAACTTCAAAATATCGTAATTGAAAAATTAGTACTGAATACTTTATAAAAAATTGCAAACTCTTAATCAGAACTAAACATTTTTCTGACTTGTACTTGAAAGTCTAATATAGTTGAAAGGCTTATTATCTTTATTCTTATAAACAATTATCTGACAACACCTTTAAGTTCACCGGAATGTTTTGAAAATATAGTTAACCGCAGATTTTAATATTTATCCATATTAAAATATCTTTAACTATTTTTTAAATTTTTATTTAAATAAATTTGTCTTTGTTTTTTTTTTTTGAATATATCTCTTATCAACGAGTACCTCTTAGCCACTCAACGTCTAGACTATAGACTGATCGATTATAGCGCTCGACTTGCCGCAAGTTTCTTGTTCCTACAAATAAGTATTTGTATCTTAAGAATGTTTGCATTTTGATTTAGTTTAATTTTATGTCTATGGTCTGTGTTGTTGCTTAAGTGTTCGCTTTCGTATCTTTGAAGTTTATTACCGTCAAACTGAATTCGTTTCTCTAACCAATTTTTTATTGTTGTTGTGTTGTTGACGGCATGGTTTCTGCAGTAACTAAAGCATGAATGCAGGTGAATCTATCTCGCAACTTGTTCTTCTTCTAATTGCACTTATGCCTTCGACTTGTGAATTGCAAATTGTATATTTATATTTTTTATGCATTTTTTCGAATAAGAATCGTTGCAGCGATTTTCTATTGTTTTGGTAAATTATTTGCTTTAATCTACAAGGAAATTGTTTAGGGTACACTCGTACATATAATATGTAGACTCGTACATGATATTATGATATCTTTTACGACCTACTCGTAATATACCAGTAGGTATGTAGCGTGTCTGAATGATTTTAGAGTAATTTTTTGGTCGCATTTGGAATGATGCTATTCTTTTCGATTCAAATCAAATGGTTATATTTACAAGCATTATAACCCAAATTATGTATTATTATTATACCAGTTATAAATAATTTTTATGGATCTATGTTGAACTCTTAATTTAATTATTTTAGTTTGATAAAATATTGATTCTGTATTGATATATAAAAGTAAAAGAGTTATATTTCAGTTCTGAATAGTTTTTAATTAAAAGATATTTTAAAAAATTCATAAAATTATTATGTATTTACAAAACTACTTTTTTTAATTGCTTTCAGCTAATAACCGTACATAAAATATCAGGAATGAGGAATAAGCTTAGATTAAATTAATCTAGATAGCCGTTCGACCATATAGATGTATTGGTCCTTAATGTAACGAGATTCTATGAAAATTTGCAGTAAGCTTGATATATATGGTAGCAGTGTTTCTCAATGTGAGATGTAAGACTCATAAGAATGCATTTTGATAGTTAATAGGGGAAATTTGAAATTAGTCTTATATTGACATTGTTAATTGAAGAAAAATGGTGACCAAGAGGGTTCGACGTTTATGAACTTTACTAAATTTACTTCACTTTGTTTATGGGAAAGGTGAAGAAGACAAAAGGCATAAATATTCAACTAATCTGCTAACCTTTCCGAACTCTTCGTGTATATGTTATGTAGAGTAGATCTTGGAATTTTTGAAAATCTTACGTTAAAGGTTAACACAGATATAGAATGTGGCCACTTTTTCTAAACTAAGTTGGTATTCTTTTTCGGAGACGTTCATTATTAATTGTTGAACCATATTCTGCATATGTAAATATAGTAGACTGTAGGTGTAACAGAAAATATAATATCAAGGCCTATCGGTATCTCGAATGCATATTATATGCAACATCCTCTATTTAGACAGAACATTAGCTGTAATTTCATTACGTTCTTTATATTGGGTGTTCGGTAAACCGAGAGTCACTGTATTAAAGATTTATTTTATAGTATTAAACTATCAAATTATTCCATGAGCATCATAAAGTAATGATAACAAAGGTTTGAATTAAAAACATGTTTATTATAACAACTATAAAAATACTACATTAATCTTAGAACATTGCTTTTCATATGGGACTAATAATTCACAAGACGACTGAGAGTCCCGCTGCAATGAAATTATTAAACGACAATGCCATATTGTTTCATAATCTTGTAGAAGACAGTGTCTTCCGAAATTTTTGGTTTGCTCATATTGCAATTCGTTAAGGTTGCAAAAGATAATTTTTATTTTTACTACTGCTGTTATTTTCAATAATTTTATTTAAACTTTTTTTTAATATCTTCAAGTATCACACAAAAGCAGTTAAAGCTGCAATTGCTTTCAAAACCTGACTTGACACACTATCGTTTGTATTGCCATTGGAGACGATGCCGATGAATAAGCACTTATTTCTGTTGTTGACTATTGAATGCACTTTTCATTATTAAGTAATTATTTTATTACACTTTCTTACATTATAAATAACTTATGCATTTACTTCAAATGATGTAACTGCTCCATTAACATCATTACCTTGCCGTCTCTCATTTCTATGCCATTTCAACTTACTTATATATCAATAATGTCAATGTTTCCATGCCAATGTGTGAAATGTATGACGTATAAAATTTAGGCTCAATTTTTTCAAAAAGATCTCAATTGTTTACATTGATTTTATATTGTATAAAATTTAAAAAAAAATTAAATTATTTACATAGAGTAGCAGCTTGTAATTACTACTTGAGCCAGATACGCTAAAATTAAAAGAAGTGCTTTTTAATAAGTGAGTCGAGCAACGCATATTGTCAATTAACAGAGTATTTGATGAGCCTGGTTTTTTGCTTGTCAAACTGACAGTTGTTAATTTCAAACATATTTCCAATTACGGTAATATTGGTAGGCAATGGTGTTGCCGTATTTTCAAAAAACTTACTTCTCAAGACATTAAAGCTTACTGTAATAGTGTTTCCATTAGGTGTGATATATTTTTAGAGAATTACACTATATGCTTCATATTTGAAAGGGAAATACAAAGAAAGATAATAAATTTTTCTGTAGACGACTATTATTATTATTGTTAAGGGATGTGGCACTGCGTTCGTCAGGTCTATTGTGCTCCTTTCTGGGTTTACAGTAGCTGCAATAGTCTTAAGGTTACCTGATGGTAATTAGTGCATTATTCATCGTGTTCCATTACATTGAAAACTCCGAGCATACGAGTATCCATGTAGGAAATAATTTTGTCATCGCTAACCCAAACATCGAGCATATTCCAAATAATTCGTCTAAATAAATAAATTATTTCAAATAAATTATTCTCTTGTAAATAATTTCTCTTGTTAGCTTACTTGTCGGTCATGTTTGACCAGTCACAAAATTTCATTGGATTTTTTAGTAGCACTTTTAAATAGAGTCAAGGATATAATTTCTACAACTCCTAAGTAAACATTAAGATCAGCAAACTCCGCATCTTAAATACTATATTTAAATTCGTCCATTTAAAGACTCATTTAACAATAATTTTATTCAGACTACCCAAAAGTAATTTAAGAGATATGATAATCATTATAAATAGATTATTTGTAAATATTGCGCAGATTTATATTAACTTATTCAAGTATCGAAGTCAAAATTTACCAATATTTTTTTTTGATTTTAGAGCTGAAATATTTAGATACTCGTACAAAAAAATACATTTACACATAACTATATAAATTTCTTAATATAACCAAATATGTGGCAACCATTGCATTATAAAATACATAATTTTCTTGTCATTAAATTTTTTTTTTACATTTGGAAGCAGCAGATGAAATTCAGATAATCTGAAAGAACATGGCGGAGTATTTGGCATCTATTTTTGGAACTGAAAAGGACAAGTAAGTAAATTTAAACTTCAAATTGTATAGTTGAAATAAATATGAATAATAAAATAAAAATAAAAGTTGTATTAAATGAGTTCTCTTATTAAATGTATTTTACATTTGAGAATCCATATAAACACCCTAAAAAACGGTGTCCCTTACCAGTCTTAATAAAATTGTACTATTCGCTAGGAAAGCAAACCAAATTAATTTCCATAAGCTATAGTTAATGGCTATGGATACTTAAGATCCTTCACTGTTTCTTAAAAAAAAAACATCATTTATTATCTTCTTCGTACGAGATAAAGTATTATGAATTAATGTTACATTTCTAGGGTCAATTGTTCGTTTTATTATAAGATTGGTGCTTGTCGCCATGGTGATCGTTGTTCACGTATACACACGAAGCCTTCATTCTCGCAAACTGTTCTTCTACAAAATATGTACATAAATCGTCAAAACTCGTCAAAGTCTGCAAACTATGAATACTTAGGCTATGTACTTACAGAACAAGAAATCCAAGAGCACTACGATAACTTTTACGAGGATGTCTATGTAGAATGCATGGAGAGATATGGAGAAATAGCTGAGTTACATGTTTGTGATAATCTTGGGGATCATCTTGTTGGAAATGTCTATATCAAATTTAAATATGAAGAAGATGCAACAAAGGCGTGTGAGGAGTTGAATCATCGCTGGTTTGGAGGACGCCCAATTTATGCATCATTATCACCAGTAACTGATTTTCGTGAGGCGTGCTGTCGTCAGTATGATTCCGGTGAATGTACACGTTCTGGATTTTGTAATTTTTTACATCTTAAACCTATTTCACGTGGTTTAAGAAGGTATTACTAGATTACAAAATTTTAAAAATGTCTTTTATGTTATGTCCAATGAAATACATATTAACTCTTTTCAGATATTTGGACAAATGTAGTATCAAGTTTAGTCGTTTAAGACGTTCAGAACGTGCAAAATTACAAGGTCGTTCAATATCAAGTTCACGTTCTCGCAGCGTTTCACCGAAGCGTAGCCGTTCAAAGAATCGTGGGCGCTCGCGGAATCGCAGCAGCTCAAGAAATCGTATGCGTTCTCGTAGTCGCCCCCGGAATAGAAGCCGCTCACGAAGGCGTAGTCGTAACCGAAGTCGAAGTCGCTCGGTAAATCGCAAACAATTACGTCGACGCTCAGGAACACGATCTTACAGTCGTTCACCAATTCGCGCTAGTCCACCTTCTCCAATCTCCAGTGAAACTCATACTCCAACTCGTTCCCGCTCACATTCACCAGCAAAACGTTCACCACCACAACCTCGCATATGTGGCCCCCGCACACCACCTAATGAACCAGAACCAACATATACCTGTTCTAACAATCAAGACCATAAGTACGGTTCATCTCCAGGAGGAAATAATTCGTTCATGAGTAATAACTCATTCTTCTGAACCAAAAGTTCTTCTTGGTTCAGAATCACTTTTGCCGCCATGTTAAGCTTTTAACTCTCTTTCAATAATGACTACAGAAGAGTAAACCAAAAATACCACCATTTTAATCATTTTGAATTAAAATAATTTGTCTCGTATTTAGTTTCCGTACAAATAATTTAGTATCATTTTTAAATCGATAAATAATGTTCAATTATTTGATGATCCATTAATTTCAATATATGAAATTATAAAGTAAAATTTTTACAGTCGACTTGTTTTTATATTGTATTCATTTGTTATTTTTATAAAATGTGTGTGTATGCATCGTATATCTATTAGCTAAACATTCCATTTAACAATATTGAATATTAAATATCCTCACTTCCGCCTCTCCACTGATTGGAATAATAACAGGAAACTATATATTACGAATTTATGCTAAAAGCCAAACTTTAACAATTCTAGAAATAAAGATGAGGATGAAGTAAAGAAAAGTGACATTAAGTAGTAGTGGATTGTGTTTGCTTTGTTGTTGTACAATCCTGCTCTACATCACCAATATTACATAATCTAGAAATGCTATTGACAGAAGGCCTTTAACAAACCTATAGAAGAATTGGTTATATTTAGTGAAAAAATTAAATGATTATCAAAATAGAGTACAGCAACTATAGTGCTAATGTAAACCGTACCACAACTGCCATTAAATATGCCATAACAAAATATAGCAAGCGCATTTATACTCCTTACTGTTCTTCTCAGCAAGATAATTGGGTTGCATCCGAATACACCATGAGTTCTACAATGTCACAACATTAGCATTACTCAGTGAATTGATATTTGTCGTCCTCACTGGCTTCGCCATGTCGCGAAGATAGATTACGATGCTTCAAAAGGTGTTTGCACCTGAGTCTGAGTCTCTGGTGAAGTAATCAAGTTGAGCAAAAATCAAAAAGAAATCAAAAAGATCAGTCATGTATAAACTAAGGAAACTACCAGTATATAGTTGATTTAAATAGACCATAAGCACAGCAACACTTTTCAAACTTTTTCTGGATTTGTACCGCATTTATTCTTATTAAAACTTTGCTTTATTCACACTTTACCATATTGTGTTGAGATAATTCCATAATAAATTCAGATTTTCCATTGTTTTGATAGTCACAAAAGTAGAGTCACTAAAACCACTGAAACTTGTCCATTAAACGTAAAATTTTAACACGTACCCTTTTGAAAGAGTCCACTTTTTAGAAATTCTGGCGCCATCTAATAGAATCCTACGAAATCTTTTACAAGAAAATAATCTATCAAAATGGAAACACTCAGATAATTTTATTTAAAAATTTACATCTAAAAAACTTAATCTCCGCACATAGCTGAAGCGGCTATAATAAATATTTATATTAATAGTACAAGGAAATTTATCTTGCTACATATATTGAATATTTATAGCACATCTATAGAGCAACGTTATATTATGGACACATACATTGAGATTATTATTAGAAAAATAAATTACTTATTTCTGTAGTTAAAAGAATTTATTAAAGAATTTCAATTAATTTAAGTAGCAATAAAAGCTTAAATATGATGAATTAGATGTACTTACTCGAGCTCTCCACATACTCGTATTATCCACAATGTTAACATAAAACATAACCAACACATTGGTTTTACGGATACATTTATAAGAACACTTTTCGCATTCTAACTATTAAGATAATAGTTGATGTCACGTCAATACAAACTCATCTAAAGATTCTTTCAACTTTCAATAAAGTGAAGTTGTTCTTTTTGATCGCCCGCAGTCATACAAGTGAACTAAAGCGCAAATCTCATTCATTATGGCAATCTTTTGCACTTTCAATTTCAACCACAACAACACCGCAACCAACCACAACAACAACAACGACAGTAACAATAACACCATCCATAGCGACACAAATAAGTATAACAGTATAACAACAAAAATAAATCGACTCAAAGCAGGGGCAAAGCGTTAACGTGGTTAACAATCGTCTTCTTGCTACATTGATAATGTGGGAGAGCGGGCAACAATAATAATAATAACAATAACTGAGGTGTTTGAAGATTATAACAATGATGCTGATAATGATCATTAACATAAACATGATGAACGTACGCTGTACACAATACCCGTGTAGTAAAGAAATAATCATAATAATACACTAAGCATTGCTAACAATTGACTTTGTTTATATTTTTTATGTGTACTCAGCACGGAGCTTCAAAGAGAGTTCAGCTCATCTAGCATAAGACGGTTATCTAATTTGAAAAATAGTGAAATAATTGGCAACACTACTTCAGTAACTGATATTCTAAAGTTTATGCACAACGCCAGACAGAGGTATTTGCACGTAAGTTTACCGAATTGCACTTGCTGTTAGAGATGCTCTGCATAACGTTGCTGCGCTGCTGCGCTGCGGCGCTGCAGTTGCGGTAAGACGTTGGCTGTCATGAAGATGATCTAGAAGCTCATCATTTAGCTTTTGTATGCTTGAAAGAGCGCAATTGAGACAATTGTTATTTTTTTGCTTTGAATTTTGTTATTATTTTTATGTTAGTTTTTTTTATTGTTGGTGCTTTTGATGATTTTTTTCACTTGCCTTAACGTTTTCTGTTAGCGTTTGAAGATTATGCTCTGTACTTTATTTGGCTGTTGTTATTGTTGTTATTGTTGTTACTGGTACTCACTGTTGGCAACGCGATAGCATAAATGTTGCTATATAAAAAGAGTTGCATCGCTTATTTTAACCTAATTCAAAGTGTTCGTGTACTTTGTACGGTTAACGGAATAATATTAGCAACAAACTGTGGCTGCCAATTTAAATGGACTTTTTTGCTTGATACTCTTTAGCGCGGTTGCATTTCAAATTTTGTGCAGTGAGCAGAATCGATAGGATATTAACATTTGGATTTTTTATATTAAATAATAAAGTTAATTTCAAGTGCCTGGCTTTAATTGTGCAAATTATTTATTTATAAAAATTTAATTGCAATAAATTACTGAATAAATTTGTTTGAAAAATAATTCGTATAAACTAAACCTGAAAATGATGTCCTTAAAAGCTTTCATTTTTGCTGTGAGTACAAAAATTTTTTCATTTTTAAATTTCTGTTTTAAAAAGACAAATTTAAGAAAAAAACTAGTAAAAACACATTAATTGAAAAGTTTTTATTAAATACAATATGTGTTTCATATGTGGATGTGCCGAAATAAACAAAAATTAGATTTCAACAAATGAGGTTATGGTGAAACTTATTAAGTCAACAACATTGTGCGCAAGGATAAAACATGAAAATAGTAAATTCATTCCAGGATAGAATGAAACTGAACTTGACGGTTATATAAATATATAAATATATATATATTTGTATATGTATTAAAAATATCATATCTAGAATATAAAATAACATATAATTGGATATAACAAATTTGATAAGGATTATCCAATAGCAGTGGCAACAATATGATAAAGATTTTGATAAAAAAACAAGATTTATGTTTTATTTTATTTGTTGGATAGTCATTTTATATTATAGTACCTATAGTATATTATGATAAATATAATTAACTAGTTAGCAGTTAAATCACGTAATGTTATAAAGCTTCAATGAACTTCCCACTTAAATAAACAAATTTCATCTAAGTTCTTAAATACTATATATAGATATAACTTGCATGAAATAATAGGTTTGATATCACATTATCACCAAAATAGTTGACACCATAACTTCAATAACTTCCTAATTTTTTGCTATATGTATACTATCAATTTTATTTAAAATTATTATATATAGTATTATATATTATATATGATACTAATTAATTAGTATTTCATCTTAACTTATCTATTATTTAACAGTTGGACTAAAAAAAAAATTACATATCTATTAAGTAGGTAGGTTGATAAACTTGGCCGTCGACTACATAAGTTAGCAATCCTCACACTTAGTCTAAATTGACCCATTGTTATAATACAGGATCACAGTAGGACCCCTTAAACATGCAACCATCTCTGAACCAAAGAGTAAATGTAATAAAACAGTGAAGCTTTGGTAAAAAAAAGTGGCCAAGTATTGAATTATCGAAGCTGTTATCAATTTTTTTTTATTATGTGTGGAACCAAGCAGAGAAAGCATTTAATAGTATCCTCATATTCCCATTATCTCATATTTAATAGTCTAAGTCAAAACAAGATTCTTTACACTAAAGCATTGACTTTTACGTAATCTTAACAGTAGAAGCACCTTGTTTCAATACTCTTAAAAGTTACCATATATATTGTCTAGTCTAAAATGGTTAATAGATGCCTGTATAAATTAGTTCTTACGTCCAATTTTATCATATTTTTCTGATAGAGGTCTTGAATGATTTACTTTCATTTGTTTTATCACTAGCTATCGCTAAATCATATTAAAATCACTAAATAGATAGATTAATAATGCTAGA